CTCTCTCTCTCTCTCTCTCTCTCTCTCTCTCTCTCTCTCTCTCTCTCTCTCTCTCTCTCTCTTTGTTATCTCAGAGACGAGTTTTAATGCAGCTGAATGTTCAGACGAATGTTTTCGGTCGCAGTAACGAGGATATTATTTCTCGTCAGCGAGTTTCTCCTTCCTATAAGGTTACCCAAACTGAAAGTTTTTTTCGTCTGTGACAAAAAATAGGCGACATATCTTACGTACCTGAGCAAAATGAAATATGATTACATAAAATTGTATGTGCGTATAACCCACATACATATACAGGGTGTCCTAGAATAATCTTCGAAACTCTCATTTTGTCACAATTATTTAATGAAAGTTTTATATAATTATATACAAGGAGTCTGGCAATTAATGACACACTCGTTGTGTGCAGACAGAATCTATCAAACTGAACACAAAATTCCTCTACCAGTTCGCAAACAGCCAGTTAAAAATTTTTAATCATTAATTAAAGAAAATTAGTGTATGATTGTACGCGATAATAATGCACTAATCTTCTTCAATTAATAGCTAAAAATTTATATAGACATTTGCAAAATGGGAGAGGACTTTTTGTCCAGTTCGACCTAATGTACAAGCACACGACAGCAGATGTCACCATCACAGCTTATCTACCGTATAACATGTGCGATTATTCATCAATTTTCCTTAATTAATAATTCAAAATTTCACATAGCTTTTTGCGAACTGGTAAAGATTCTATATGCATACAACGAGTGTGTCATTAATTGCCAAACTCCTTGTATATAATTATATAAAACTTTCGTAGGCACTATTTTCCTATATTGTCCGATATAACGCAGACATTCGAGGTGATAATAATTGTCATTTCTGTATAATTGTACGTAATCATTGTGTCTCGGAGATTTTACATCGATCAATTTCTCCGCACAATCGCTCAACATCGCTTCAATTCCACAGCTGTGCGCTCTACAATCGCCGTCGCGTAATATATCTCATTGAATATAATCGATCGTCTTCGAACAGAAGGATCCTCGATGCGCTGAACATGTCCTAAGCCCTAGATGCAACTGATCGATCGGTCTGCACTTTAAAATACTCTTCTCTCCTTGCCATTTGAGACGGTACTGCAATCAATGGCTCGTGGTTATCGCGCCAGGAAAGATCCGACCGCCGATTTCTTCGTCTCTGCCGGGTACATGAGCACCCTCGAGCGTTGCTTTGGCTTGGTGTATTTTCCGAGGGGTCGCAGCTGCAATTACTTCGAGATAGAGCTTGCGTATCGCGTACAGAAGAGCATCGCGTTCCGATCGATGGGAGAGGGATATACCGTCAAAGAGGCACATTTGTCAAACGCAAAATCGGTGATCCTTCGGCGGAAGTAGACCGAGTTGTCAATCGAGATTAGCCATGTAACCGTGAATATCATCGGGAAAAAACGGGAAAAACTATAGAGGAGAAATTCTGATCCTACTTTCGACCTCAATGTTCCATTTATCGCCTACTTTGATACTCTGAAGTCTCTCACCAATCTCTTTTGATCCCATTTAACCTACTGGCTTCACTGAGAGGTCTCTTTAGAACTTACAAGTGGCATTTTCCACCATTTAGAGACGCTAAATAGGATTTCACAGCTTCCATATGTACTACATATATACTGATCTTTCGGAATATGTAGGCGTTAGAAAGCCCAGGGATCCAAAGCAGGTTTGAAAAATTTCAACTCGGCAAGTCCGTACACTCTCGCGGTAAAATGCGATTCCACCTGATCGATTTGCAAAGGTAATCTCTCGTTTTTCCCTCCGTAAAGCAGCTTGCAGATCCAACGAATTTCGCAGCTGCTCGCGCGCACTTCCATTATTAGGTGAATTATCGTCGAGCGCTTGTGTGATCGCTCGAGGCGTCGCGCGACGCTCGCGCGATAGAATAAAGCCGATCGCACGCGCGGATTCTGCATGAATCAAAGGAATCAATGGTAATACCATCGGGACGACGCGCGTATCAATTCGAACGTCGGAACGCACGTGAATAAATGGAATCGACAATGGAGCTAATTATTCCGCGCGTTCATTTCGGCGCGAAAGTACTATCCGTAATCGCCGATATCGGATGCGCGCATTCCCACTTCCCCCTCCCCCTAATGGGATACGCGTTACCTCACCGACTCCAGCGCGGCTGGCTTCGATAACTTTCGCTAATAATTCGTGGGAAATCCAATTATCGCGGCCGCCGCGACACTCTTGCCGTCAACGGCCGCGTAACTGGCGCGAATTGGTCCCAACAAAAATTCGAATTCTATCCGTGTTGTAATGAAAACAGGAGAGCCGCGAGGAAAAAAGCGTTGCCTGTTATTTTCGTCCCCGCGCTATACCTCCACACACCGGTGTATGCTCTCGATTATAATCGAATCGGCCAGATAATTATCTGTTGATTGCGCTCTGTATATGAAAAACGCCATTACGTGGAAAGCGTTGTTGCGTCGAGCGCTTTAGCGGCACGAGTGCCGACAACGAGACGACGAGACTCAAATCGAATCGGAAACACAGTACCGGTGCCCCCGCGCGATTCATGATCGCGCAAACTCGCCGCGTAACCAACGCAAATTTTGCGAAAATGCGCGTACAACGCGTTCTCATTGACGTCGAAACGCCGTGATAACGTGAAAACGGATCTTATCGTGTTATGTTTTCGCGAATAACTCTAGACTACTAATACTCGCCTTTTGGACGGGGATGTGTGTACAGAAACTATCTCCTGCATTCTCTTTAGATTTCCCTATTATTGCGGATTTTTGATAACATATTCTCACATTTTCTCTCTAATTACTTATATTTCTCTCTAAACTTTCTCTCTAAACTTATATTTACTATTTTCTTTCCTTATTGATTCCCTGTTGCTCGATAGAAAGGTTCTGAATAATTGAGGAATGCCCGTCAAAATGACGGGTGTTAGTAACCAATATTGAAAAAGGATGTTGGTAGTCTAGAAATAATGCCTCTGAAATTCGCCGATCGCTACGTTTGCACGCTCTGAGAGATCGCTTCTATCGAAGTTACACAACGTGGAAGCTCGTGAAAAGTCCCGCCGGAGTGAAGGAGAAGACATCGAGTAGTCTGGTGTAATGGTATAAGGAGAGAGAAAGAGACAGAGCTACACAGACAGATAAATAGATAGAGAGTGAGAGAGTGAGGAGGAGACAGAGAGAGAGAGAGAGAGAAGGGAAAAGAAGTGGTGGACAGATCGGTGCGTAGGTGTGTACGCGTGTAATGGTGAGGCAAGTTGCACGCGCACGATGCAGCTGATGACCTTGAACTCCCTGCTGATGTTCGACCTCGTGTTCCTGTTTTTCCTGTTCCTCGTCGGGGTCTCCTGCCTCGTGTACTACCTGCCGGGTACTCGGGCGCATACCTTCGCGCCGCACGAGATCATCACGGCGCGAACGCCGCCGCGCTATGACGCACCGATCGACAATGTGTAAGGTGGGTATACAGCAAGCAGCGCGCGAGAGACCCGCGCGATCACAACACGGGGAAGCTGATTATGCGAGAGAGGTGTGTTCCACGGCGTATACGTCCGCGATATCGGCCAAGGGCTGGCGCTCTTTGATTCATGAATAGTCGATAAACCGAACGCGCTCTCTCTCTCTCTTCGCAAAAATAGCTCCCGCAGCCGGCATTATTCGGCGCGAACGCGACGAGAACTTGAGGTAATTTTCTATCTCTCTTTCTCTCTCTCTCGCGACAGCCATCTCGATTAAATCGTTCCGCCGGATGTTACCAGTCCTGCAAAAAATCGCGCAGGCACAATGTTTATTTGATTGCAATTGCCAGAGAACTTACCGCGCATTTCCGCGCGCGCGGTACAATTTGATTCACGTCTTGATTAAATTGCGCGGAATCAGGACGGCTTCCGCCCTCCCTCCTGTCCCTCTCTGCCTCTCCCTTCTCCCATTCTCCCACCGCGGCGTTAACTGATTGTCCTCTAATTAAACGACCTGTCCGCCGCGATCGCTCGTAATACGCGAGCGAGTGTTAATTCGCTATCATATTATCATATGCGCATTTCTATCTGTCGCCCGCAAATGTTCTCCCATCGCGACGACAACAGTAACGGAAAAATGCACGATCTAGCGATTTGGAAACAGCATACGGTAATAAACGAGCATCAATAACGCTGAGAGACGAGAACTTTTACGACAAATGGAATATCCGATGCGCGTCTGATTAACCTGAAAATGACCGTTAGGGGGCGGGAGAGGGGGGAGGGGGCTTGCGTGAAGTATCAGAGCCTGTCAAAAGCACACTCGAATTGCACTCCGTACCGTGCGCGATTTCGGATATTGCATAATTCAAACTGAATGCTGTTCTGCTTCGGGCATCGCATAAAAGGTGACCGAGTTGCGGCATGAATGGCTGCACGTGTTTGTCCATTGTGCTCCGAGAACGACCTAATAGGTGGAAAGGTCCCAGAAGTGGTATAAAATAAGTCGCGAGTGCGACTGAAACGGCGCTCGATTAAAATTGTAATTTAATACATGTAAGATATTAATAATAATAAATGTCCATACAGAAGAAGATCAGATATCATGAATAAAATTATCACGTAAAATATTTCAAATATAATTATAATTTTTAAATTATTGTTTAAATTATATCACATGTATCGAATTTTATAATTTTGAATTAAATTATATTACGTAAAGTAGTTGGCCAAATGGTTTAATTTTAAATTAAACACCATCGTGAAAAACGAGTATTACGACATGATTGACATTTGATTCTAAACTTGACTTTAAACTTGATGAAATTGAGAAGATCGACTTAAGGAGATTGTAAGATAAAATGAGTCTGTTAAGAATTCATTGAAATTTGCATTACACAAAATTTAAATATTATCCAACGGTCGTGGAATTAGAAAAAGATTGACCATTCAAGAGTTGAGACATTTGAAATTAAAGTTGACACTTTTTATGCATGTTACATACAAACATTGAGGGTAACATTTACATATAAGTGTTACGTTTGGTTAAGTATTAAGTTTAACACATATAAGTGTAAGTTTAACATTTTTCTAAGCAAATTCCCCACATAAGTGTTAACATTTTTTTAAATATTCTGCATATATCTATCTCAACTCTGTCTCAAATGAATATTTATTACTTAGATAACGAAATAAATGTAGAAACATAATTTTGTTCAATATATAGTAAATTTATAGACTCCTTGATGCGCTACTATAATCCTTACAATCTCCTTAACTGAATTATACGAAAAAATTAAGAAACATAACGATAAATCTACACGTCAGTAAAAATGTAACGAACAAATGAGAAAGAGATGCGTCTTATATAACGCATTTCCCAATTTAAAGTTAACGTTAATGAGTCTTCATCATCACCGCCGACTGCGCGCGCTTGTTGGACGTTGGGCAACAACGAAGATTTCGTCGCTATCCGAATTGGCTCTTTAATTACTGCCGACGTTCTCCTTCATTGCCCACCAACTCCGCGGAAAACCGTCGTCCCGCGCGGACGGGATATCTGTCGCGGAAAATTAATATTTCCGCGAAGTTTCCTTGCACTCGTCGCCGGGAAAAATCGAGCTTGATACACATCGCGCGGAAAAGTAAACGGTGATATTAATAAAGGTCGAAACTCTGGAAATTGGATGACACCGTAACTCTTCGGCAAGTGCAGAACGAAATAAGAACGGAAAGAAACGCGAGGAAACTAAATTAAAGAATAACGAGAAAATAAATCATCAAAATGACATAATAATCGGTTACGATACAGCAAATAAGCACCTGACAATTACGCATGATTTATGAAAGCAAAAATGTCGCTAATGTCGCAAAGAGTACAGCGCGAAATAAACGGCAATATCTGCGATAAATCCCGTTGTCACAATGCAACCCTTTGAACTCCAGGATGCACGAAATGCATATATCCATCATCGCGCGAGCCAATATATTGCGCACAACGACGGTTCATTGACTGGAAACAATGGAACGATGATACACGATAGATGCGCCATAGCAGCAGTTGTCAAACTGGACAGATTACAATTGAGAGACGGATTGTCTGGCGCGCAAGGTTAATTATAATGTTTATCACTTCATATATCGCAACGTTGCATCGCATCACAATAAGCCGCGTCGGCTTAATCATCGAAGAAAGTTGCATCCAGGATTACAAGATAAACTTGCAAGTTCGTTAAGGAGATGCCAAAGTGGATAATAAACTCCAAAAATATCGATAACGTGGAGACGTTGAAACGACACATCAAATAGACACGATCATACTATTTTCCTTTTTTAGTATTTCTTGTATACAGGGTGTCCCATATTCATCTTCAAAACATTCGTGGATACATAGAATGGATTGAAGTGATCATAAAAGTCCTATACCGTTTGGCGATATTCGAAAATCTCAAGATATTAATTAAAGAAGAAAGAAATTGGTGAATGATCATGCGGGATATGGTAAATGAACTATAGAGGCGCCTTTTACCGTTGTATACTTACATATTAGATCAAATTGGAAAAAAAAGTCCTCTACCATTTTGCAAATAGTAGACTACATAGATTTTTAGATATTAATTGAAGAAGATTTATGCATTATCGCGTACAATCATGCAACGATTTTCTTTCACTAATAACTAAAAATTTGCGTGATTATTTGCAAAATGATAAAAGACTTTTTTGTTCAGTTAGATCTAATACACACGAAATTGCCATTAGAGCTCATCTACCATATCGCGCATAATAATTCAGCAACATTCTTTAATTAATATCTCGAATATTATTGCAAATGTCGTAAAACGGTATAATTTTTGGGCTTTTATGATCATCTCAATCCGTTCTATCTTCCCACGAAAATTGCGGAAGAGAATCTGGGACATCTTTGTAGTAAGAAAATATGAGAGAGATTCGCAATGAAGAATGTGTGAACAAATCAATTAATTTCTCTGACAATGCTTCACTGTATTTCTTGAGCTAACAAGATCACGACCAAAACGCATGATATACAAACATCCTACACCCTGTATAAAATTCCCTGTAAGATCTTATGCAAGGCGTTTTACAATAGGTGAAAAAATAGACTAGTTTATATATATATATATATATATATATATATATATATATATATATTAGATCGAACTGAACACAAAATGTCTCTACTATTTTGCGTATAACTGCGTAGATTTTTTAGATATTATTTTTGAGTTATTAATCAGAAAAGATTGGTAGACAATCATGCGTGATCGTTCGCTAAATTCTTCTCTAATTAATAACACAGAAACAAGTTGCAGAGTTTTTGTATCAGAGAAGTATTTTGTCGGAATTTCAATTTTGAATTTTTTATCATTTTCGCGTCACGTATTAAGCAATGTTCCAACAAATTTTTGCACATTGTGTGAAAGCATTTGTAATTCTGTGCAAACAATACGACGTAAACTTTGCAGAAAGAGGTCAGTATTATGTCAGTAAAGTTTCCACGTATGGCATCTCCTTAATCGCTTGTAAATAACACGCGCGCGGAGTGCGCACGCCGAATGGGAAACGCGATCAAAATTTCAGCCGGTGATAATCTCGTCATATATGTCAGTGGAACGAGCGATCACGCCTGATCAAATAATGTCGAGCATGCCATAAACTGACAGCGCTCGTGCCACAGAGTTGATTACGCAATTAAAGTCGCGCGAACGAACTGCAGTTGTGCGAGAAATTTTATGCAGTCCTGCTTGGTAATGGCGCGATCGGGAAGCAAGATAATAGGATAATATATTTTTTCTCGAATCGATGGATAATAGCATTTTCATTTAACTCTTTAGTCACATAGTGTTGTCACACAGTATTTTCGTGCGTAGCGCGAGGACAGAATAAGAGATCGTATGTACAATACAATAATAAGACATAATATATAAATATGTAAATAAAAGAGGAATAATATATAAACTAGAATAAAAGAGGAATGGATAAATATACAACCAGCCGAAGAAATATAGACAAAAAATGAGGAAAATAAGGATAAATATATAAAGAAAGAAATAAATATAAATTGAATAAATAAGAAAAAACAAAAAAATAAATAGATAAATAGTATAAAAACAAACACATGAAAAATATAGATACAGAAATAAGAATAATTTTTCTTTATTCGTAATTTTTTATATAATAAAAGTTCTTTTCCTTTTATAACCACTAGACGATCACGGCTATTGGAAGCTCTATTCGTTTCCTTTTATATAGATAGTGTTTAACATGAAGTATCCCATGCCTTGTATACATATACATGCACGTATCTGTGATAGAGACGCCTGTAGTCGTGTGCTTCATTAAATCAAACTGAACAAAAAAGTTCTGTATCATTTTGCAAATAACCACGTGGGTTTTCGAGTTATCGTAATTAACGAAGATTGGCGGATGATCACGCGCGAAAATGCACCATTGTCCTTTAATTAATAACTGAAGATTCTACGTGGTTAATTGCAAAATAATAGAGGGCTTCTTCATGCAGCTTGACCTAATCTACAAACACACGACGGCGGGCGTCGCTATCACAGCTCATCTGCTGCGTGACGTCTACCAATTTTCTTTAATTAATAACTCGTTATTTTACGCGATCGTTTGCAAAATGATAGGGGACACTTTGCGTCGGACAGCCTGGAGAAGTTTGTCACCTCGAAGATGTATTTTCGCGCCACGAAATAATACAACTCATTAGCAGTTGATAGCATGCGCGCGCCTTCAACAGTCTGCGGCTTCAATTAATCTCATTATTAACCGGTTAGCCTTCGTTCGTGAAGTTCGATATCAAGATCCCGCGCGCGACGTCGCGAAGTTGCGGCAGCTGTACGCCCAGAAAATGAAGAAAAGCGTTTTCGTTCAGGTGGAAATCTCGCGGCCATGATCGCCGCATAATAGAGAGGACAATCGCAGCTGACTAAGTTAGAAGTGCCCGCGAGAATCGAGAAAGTGCAGAAGACCGAAATGCGCCCACGAGACAGAATATCGACTCGGGACTATCTGGAATCTAGTTTCGCGGGAAACCCGATAATCTGAAACTTGCACGCGCGTGCTCGCCGTCTATTGGACTTCTCGACATAACACGTAAACGTTTATCTTATTGGGAATACGACGGTCTTCAAACAAGAGACAATCCCTATCTTTGAAAAAGATTCGAAAGAAATCAGAGATTTGCTTGCGCGCTAACGATAATATACAACCGTAAATCCTCTCATTTTCGCGCAAAATTCGTGACTGAAAAGTATAACGATTCGATAGCTAGTTAATTTTAACGTCAACTATTTTAATTCTTTAATTAATTTGAATTTCATTACTCTTGAATACACACGCGCATTACACGAAAGCTTGCAGAGATCTGTAACGTACATTGAAAGAAAAAATATCTAAAAAATAATAAATATTTCTTTGATAGGCACACTAACAGCATATTTATTTATACCAATATAAAACGTTTTGCAAATATATGTATTTGCAAAATATACGTATTTTTTCAAAATATAGATCTATTCTTATTACAAAACGATGAAATACCATTTCAAAATACCATTTTTATTCAAATGATATATTTGTACATGGATAAGGTTCAGAGTAAAATAAACTTCACATGGTTCAGGACATGACTTTTATTCACCTGATTCGCGGAGAATTAAAATCTTTAGACTTCTAAGAACCTTAATTTTTCATGAAAGCGGTTATTTATTCTATTTAAATAAGTGAATTTAGATTTATGTACACATACACTGTTAGTAAGCTCACCGAATAAATATTTACTAATTTTGAGATGTTTTTTTCTCTCGGTATAGTTGACCAGAGAAATCAGCGAGAACAACGAGGGGCAGATAACGATAGCCCGCGTTACTTTGCTTGAAAGAGCAGTCGCGGAGGAGAACGCTGCTGAAAACGGGGTTGACACCTATTGTTTTCTCTGACGACGGTATATCTGTTGATTATTCCTCGGAATGTGCACATGACGTCGAGATTCGCGAATGCCAGATTTACATACGAACATGAGCGAACGAGGACCGCAATGTCGCGCGCGTGTTTGATTAAAAATAAATCCGCTGTAGTTTGAGATTTGACGCTATACAAAGCTGCGCGCATCTTGATCTTGCTCGCTTATCCTCTGCCAACGTGGGAAAACAATTCCAGAGAAATAAAATTCAGAGAAATAGACCGGCAATTGCGGCAACGCGCGATAATTTTTTTTCCCCAGATAATACTCAAGAAACTCATATAGGAAAAGAACGCCACACAAAATAAAGTCCAAAAAAATACACATGCGAAATATATTCGGTATTTTTTCGGAATACAGATTGATTACAAAGATAAAAAATACGCCAAATACAAAGATAAGTAAATTGTATCTAACAAAAATTCTCTATAAAAAACCTAACAAAAACCTTAATTAAAAACTTTTACAAAAGGTTGTATAAAAAAAAACAAAATGTTTTTATCCAAACAATTATAAAAAAGCAGATTGATACGATCAAAAACGCAATTCAGTCGAGCTACAATAATCAGAGAAGGTAAAGCTTTCGCATATTGCTGCGACAGAAATAACGCTTATACAACGTGCAATAAATATAGCTTTAGACACGAGTAAAAAAAAGCCCTCGCGCGCTCGTACCCGTTCGCGCAACATATGACGTCGTCAAGAAAATGAAGGAACCCGAGTAACCTTTACAAAATAGTTCCCAGCTCGCTAGTACACGCCACATCACGGCGACATGCCGAACAAAGGGGCTAATATAAACGGGACTGAGCAAGCAACAAGCCCGATACCTTCAATATGCGCGCTTCGGGTTGTTTGCATTTGTTTATTCGCGACAGGCTAACGGGAACGCGTTGCCTCCGTGTCGTTTCTCTAATCCTGCGCGTGTTCATCCTGTAAGGCGACGTAAAACATCGTCCCCGTACGGTCTCAAAATTCCTATCCAACATCCCATCGATACCTCTGTTACATCATATTATCACGCAAACTTGTCGTTTCAACTTCGCGCATAGAAACACCGAACAGTCATTTTTAATCATTTTTTTTTTTGACTTCTTGTTTCTCGTATAAAAGACAAGATTGAACTGAATGCTGTATCATAAAATTGACGGGAAATCAAGTATTTGATGAAAAGTCAGAACATCTCAAAATCCTCTGTCTTTTACACGAAAAACAGGATATTAATTTAAAAAATAAAAATGGTAAAAAATGATCATTTGATATTTTAGTGTTAAGAAAGAAAATTACTTCGCGCGAGACGTCTCTTGATAGACGCGTAAAAATTTTAACGATTAAATTTTTAATTAGTGAGTAATTAATGAAGGATTATGCAGAAACATCTTTTTGTTCGCAGAATGCCGACGGACGGGACCGGGGGTCCAGGACTCGCGGTAGTGGCAGGGGATGTCCTTGCTTTGCGAGGCACAGGACTCGCTGCTGCAGAAACTTGGGCTCTCCTCTGCCAGGCTGCCCAGGCCCTCCAGGACCTTTTTCTTTCAAGTAAGTTATAAACTTAAGATTTCAAAACTTTATATGCAACATGCTGATATTTTATTGTGTATCTTAAGCCATAAGTTTTCAGCGTTTACAATTATAATTAATAGAATATTTACGCATAATTTCATAATTTGCGGAAACGCAGATAAAGAGCCACAAAAGAAGACAATGTTGCTAATTAAATCACTAACTAATATTTATAACATAACGTTATACGTACGAATAAATGTAGTTTTATTTAGCGTTATCAGATTCTCGAAAGCAATGAAGAGATACATCCCGTCCGGTTTACAATCGTTAGTTCAAATATGAGCTGAATTAATATTAATTATATTAATCGCGCTTTGCGATTATTATTAATTACTATTGAATGATGGTAATATAATAAATATGAAAAAAATATAAAAAAAGAATTTATCGTTAAAAAAAAAATATTCCGGTACCGGGAATCGAACCCGAGCCTCCTGGGTGAAAGCCAGGTATCCTAGCCACTAGACCATACCGGATCTCATGACTGGCTGGCTAAACTGCTGGCAGCTGAGTGACGCGACAATAGTTCTACTTTGCATTTACAATGAATATATACGTACATGTTTCATTATATAATTTCATATTGTAACATTAATTTTAGCTTCTAAAATATACATGAAATATGATAAAGACAACTGTTAGTGTTATCAACATTTAATTAAATGAAGAAGCTATATGTAATTAAGGACAACATTAAACAATTATCAAATGGGTTTAGTGTAATATGGGATTATAATTGCTTAAAATAACAACTATCCACCAATTCATAATCTATTTTCGTGCAAAGCCTCCAAGTAATTTAGTTAATTGTTATGTCGATAACGATAATATTGATTATTATTGACATATATTTAACAAAAAAGCGGCATGTGTAATTGTAATAAAGCAATAAATAGAAATGTAATAAAACAACAAATGCAAGAGCAACAAATCATCGCGCTTCTCGTCGCTCTACTCGCGCTCCTCTTTTATATCAGGAAATATCTACCATACGGGACTTACGCGGTTCTTTTCTACTCTCACGAACATAAAACACCCGAAAGATGATCCGTCCGCAAATCCCGGAGGCTTTTCAGAAAATATTGGTCGAGTTCCGCCGCAAACTTCCGCTATGTGCAGCCGGGCTTAACACGTTTCGGACACGACTACCGGTACTGTGTGAAATCGAAACTTTATCATGATTGCTACTCAGCTCAATTGAAAGGGAAAACCAATAAAATAAAGAAAAAATGTATAAAGTAAGGTATGATAAATTGAAATTTCGATGACTGATAATGAGATAGATTCTTTCATTGAATTTATTCTATCAAAATTTCACATTCAATTGCTTTCGTTATATCAAAAGTTTGCTGATAATTGCCAAACAATATATAGATTTGTGATAAATTGCGATTTTATCATTATACCTTCATCAATCTAAAGATTGTATCAAAATTTAATGTTGAAATATTATTAATGGTTATTGCTATTATTATTAATTCCAGAATTTATGACATCACGAACCTCCATCGAGTTTATTATTTTTGTAATCGATATGTATTAGCCATTACATGACACACATGTTTTGAGCACTTTAATTGGCACACAGAAATTTGTCCTAGTCCTCGCTTATTTACACCTCATAAAAGTGTAAATAAAAATCTATAAAAAATAATAAATATACTTTTTCAAGTCTTTAAATTACAATTGTGTACAGAAATAATCGCAGATACTCACTTAAGTATTTCATTTTATTACGATTATAAAAAGACACACGATGAAAACGTGAGTTTAAAAAATAAAAATTTGTAATTTTTTTGGAAATAAATTAAAGAAACTAACACTCTAACATTTTCTTATCAATACTTGAACTTTTCAGAAAAAATATTATATATCTCAATTTGTCAAAAAGCATAATTATTTGAATATACGAAAATATATGATATGATAGATATTATATATGATAAATATAAATATTTGAATATACGAAAATATATGATTTTTTTAGTTAAGAGACACACTGAAGAGTCAATCATTAAAAGTTTTAAATTTTTGCTGTATATTAATCTATTGCGAATTATATTAAAATTATTATATTCGCTCGCTCGCTCGCTCGCTCGCTCGCTCGCTCGCTCGCTCGCTCGCTCGCTCTCTCTCTCTCTCTCTCTCTCTCTCTCTCTCTCTCTCTCTCTCTCTCTCTCTCTCT